GATTTGTGATGACCATTGAGACTCATGAGACTATCTGAAGCGTGAGCAGACCCCTTCAACACCGGCTGCAAGCTCAGGTGAAGACACCTCTCCTGGCCGGGGCTGGCATTCCCTTTGGCTCCCTGATCAATAACTGTAGCTACAAAAAGCATCAAACATCTCAAAGACATCCCAAAGGCACAGGTCGCCAAAGGGAATAAAAAGAAAACGCCGCATATATTAATGTTCTCCTTAGGCTGCCCAGACAGCCTTGTAGGCCCGAGGCCTACAAGAGGCCAGTGGTGATTGGGATGCTAAAAATTATAGAGCTGGAACAACATTTCTTTATGAAGTAGCTTTTTGAGCCTCTAGACAAAGGAATTCTAGTTCAAAGAGTAACAGTTTCCAGTTTCACAACCTGCCTTTTCTCACCAAGTAGGTGAGGAAGGACAGAAAAAGGAAAAAGAAGCAGAATGATACCAAGGATGCCAAAAAATATATAATAATAATAACATCTTATTAAGATTGAAAATAATGCAAATGCCTGGTGTTGACAAGGGTGTGGGGGCAGCCAGTGCTCTCATCCACTGCTGGTGATAGCGTAAATTGGAAAAATCTTTCTTGAGGGCAATTTGGAAATATGTAGCAAAATCGTAAAAAATATGCATGGCCTCTCACTCAGCAGTTTCACTTTTAGGACTCTATCTGAAGGAAATAATCAGAGATGTGTCTAAAGGTACATTTACACAGATTATCATCATATCATTACTTATAACAGTGAAATAATAGAAATAAGCTGAATACGTAATAGGCATTTGGATTAAGTAAATTTGATATGTGAAATATTGACAAACCATTGAAAATCATACACATAGGTACATTTCTATAGCAGCAGAGAAAACAGACTGGAGGGAAACAAAGAATTCTAAGGACATGCAATATAAGATAAGATATAAGATATGAGATTAAGATATGACTAATATTGCCTTTTTATTTTTTTATTTTTATTTTTTTTCAAGGAAGATTAGCCCTGAGCTAAATACTGCCAGTCCTCCTCTTTTTGCTGAGGAAGCCTGGCCCTGAGCTAACATCCATGCCCGTCTTCCTCTACTTTATATGTGGGATGCCTGCCACAGCATGGCTTTCGCCAAGTGGTGCCATGTCTGTACCCGGGATCCAAACCCGCGAACCCCAGGCCTACGAGAAGCGGACTCTGCGAACTGAATGGCTGCACCACTGGGCAGGCCCTAATATTGCCTTTTTAAAAATTTTTTTGTTTTGCACATGTAGATATTTGAAAAAAAAGGTACAAATAAATCAGATAAAAATAAACCTTTAATATGACAGCTTAGAGTTTGTAGATGGATGTCCTCATGTGCTATGTCAAGAAGCATCTTTGGGGCAGGTAAATAAGTACGCTTATCCCCATCTTCCAGAAGATAAAGGTGAGATCCAGAGATTTTAGACAGTATCTTAAACTGGCTTTATAACTACAGACAGTCTGTATAAAAACCTGCAATTAGAATTGGTGTATAATGATACAAACTAGGTAAACTAATAGTCTGCAAATTAATGAGAATGTATATCTAAAAGTGAACAAAAGCAGTAAGGTGCTTCAAAGTTTTTTTTCTGTTAGGTTATATGTACTTTAATTTTAAAACATCAACTTTCACTTAGAATAAGTCATGTTAAGATGTAAGATATGTCTTTTTATTTTAAGGGTTAAGATATTGTTAGACTCAGGAGATAGGAATGAATTGTTAATATATCACTTTTTTTAGAAGAAACACATTCTGACATTTGTTAATTAAACTTTTCTTAAGGTTTAATGCATTGTCAAGATAGGACGTATTTTCAGGAAAGCCTTATGATCTTACCAAGCTTTAAAATAATCCAAAAGCTAGTTTTGACATTCTACCTAATGTTGATAAAAGGGTATTTTAAGCTCATGCAAATCTAAAGAAACAGGGAAATTTGTTTCATCCTGTTAATTAGTAGGTAACAACATGACGAGAGAGAAATATTGCTTATTTTCGTCTAAAAGGATGATTAATGCAAGTTTAAAAGCCTTTTTGGTTTTACAAAGTTAATACTGTTTAATTACATGAGATTAAAATTATACCATATCATATAGTTTATTTGGTATAGGTGGGGCCAAAAGTTACAATGTTTAGCCAAGGTCACCTTTTGCACTTTTTCAATAGTGAATAAACATGGTAATTTTAAATTATCGATGCTGACAATATTTAAGAGGTTTCTCATGTCTTTTTATTTTAGTTTAGTAATCTCCTCCCAGGAGACCACTCATTTTCTCGGGGTCATAACTCTGTACAAAGAAATGAACTGAGACAAAAGTGAGGATAAAACCCACGTACTAGACATTATCAGATTACTGTAAAGGTGTTATCTGAACAAAAGCTTCCTACAGTCGGTGCAAATGTAATTAATGTGAGTGGCTTGGTGGGGAAGTGGATAAAACACTATTTGCTCAGCCTTACAAAGAAACTGGGAAACCTACATCTCTGGTCAATTTCCAGAAGGCAGCGTGGTGGAGTGGAAAGAGTGCGAGCGGAGGAAATTAGCACGGCTTCTTAGTCCTGTGAGCTTCAGCTGGTGTCTCATTCTCGGAGCCTCACTTTCTTCATCTGTAAAACAGGCAATAACACAGGCTGCACCAGGTGGTTGCAATGAGTAAAGGTGGTGATGCATGTAAAGGGGATGGCATATTGAAAGTGCTTCATAAATGCTGGTTTTCTTCCCTGCCCCGCCCCAAGAGCAAAATATTAGACTATCAAGATATCAGACACAGTGGATATATCCATCCACAGATGAAGTGCATCTGTAAAATCGGCTAAACTGGAATGAAATGTTGGTCTGAATCGATAATCATAAATATATAGGGAAAATGTTGTGAAATATCTAGACATAGTATATAGTGATGAATTTTTTACAGAGACAAATGGAGGGAGGGAAGAAGTAATAATGAACGCTGTTTGAATCATTAATCAGAAATCTGACTGAAGTTTGGTTCTTTAAACAAGTTGCAGAAAAGTTTGTTATTTCTTTGGATTAAAATCTGATTCCACAACAATAGTGAAAAACTTAGAAAAAATAGTACTGACCTGCAAATTTTAAATGATATTAAAATACCAAGTTGGAATCTTCGTTTTGTGACTAGGTGCAGCGGTTAAGTTTGCACGTTCCACTTCTTGGCGGCCCGGGGTTCGCCGGTTGGGTTCCCGGGTGTGGACATAGCACCGCTTGGCACACCATGCTGTGGTAGGCATCCCACATATAAATGACGTCCATGTTGCTGACAGGAAGTGAGTTCCAATCCTGGAGTTTGTTAGGGGAAATTATCTAGCAAGATAATTTTGTGCATGAGTCCAGTCATTCAGTCACAACACTGAAGTCAGCCCAGACTCTGAGCACTTTGCTAAGACCTAAAGATAAAAGAATGATTAAGAATTGAATCTTGCCTTCAACTCTTTACATAAAAATTAGAATAGTAACTACTTGCACTTACTTCACAGTTTCTAATCAGGATCTAAAAAACAAAGCAAACATACTAAGAAAAAATATGAATTTAGAAAGTTTTGCTGAGGAACGGTTGTGAATTCCAACAAGCAGAGTGGAAGAGTTCAGCAGTTGGCAAGGGTGGGAGAAGGGGCAGATGAGGGGAGGTGCCTGGATTCATGATGATCAGAGTATGAGAGATGAGGAGGAGGGGCCTATGGGCCCAGGACTTCTGGAGCTGAAGGGCAGCACAAAATAGGGACATTATTGGGACATTTGAGGACACGACAATATGGACTATATAGCAGATTTTATAGAGAGAGAGTACATGGAAATGAAGTAAAATGTTAGTAACCTTAGTGAAGCCTATATAGGTATTCGTTGTTCTATTCTTGTAACTTTTATGTAGGTTTGAAATGTCTTTAAAGTTAAAATTTAGAGGACAGAGAAAGAATCTCTTAGCCAAAAGCTGAGGTGGGCTTAAAGGAGAACCTGTATTCAACCCCAGAGTTGATCTGCGATAAAACTCTCTAAGTTCCTTTATTTTCTCCAGCTACCTCTTTCTTCCACAGTACTCAGTAAAAGGAAGGCCTGCCTGGCAGGATGGGATGCTCTGACTTCTGGCTCTCTGTCCGACTATCCTCTCCAAGAGAGATGTCTGTGGGGCGCAGCGCCCTCAGTCTAAGCCTGCAGCACTTCTCAACATTCTGTGCCTTATCCTTTGGCGTCTGGTGAAGTGTATGCATCTATGTAGGTATTATATTTCTAAGCACAAAAAATAAAATACATGTGATTATAGAAGAAACCAATAATACTGAAAGATAGTTTTAAAATATAATTTAAAAGTGTGATAGAACAAGATACATGCTTTCGTATTAATGCACTAAACAACAAGATCAAGCAGTAAGTCTAATATCTGCCACAATTTGAAGTAGCGATGAGCATAAACTCTATTTTGAGATATTTATAACTGTGAAGTGATATAAAAACATGATTTTAACATTTCATCTAACAGGAGCATATATGGAAAATCCCAAAGAGTCAATCAAAACAACTGTTGGAATAAATTACTGATTTCAGTAAAGTGGCAGGTTGCAAAATCAACTTACAGAAATCAGTAGCATTCCTTTACACTAATGATGAAGCACTGTAAAAAAAGAAAAGAAAACTATCTCAATCACAATAGCATTAAAAACAAATACTTAGAAACAAATTTAACTAAGGAAGTGAAAGATCCATACAATGAAAACCACAGGACTTTGCTGAAAGAAATTAAAGAAGATACAGACAAATGGAGATTCATGCATGTTCTTGGATCAAAGAATAAATATTGTTAAAATGACCATACTACCCAAAGCCATCCACAAATTCAACACAATCCTCATCAAAATACCAAATCTATTCTTCATGGAAATAGAAGAAAAATCCTAAAATATGTGTGGAACCACAAAAGACCTTGAGTTCTCAAAGCAATCCTGAGAAAAAACAACAAAGCCGGGAATATCATACTTCCTAATTTCAAACTATACTGCAAAGCCATATTAATAAAAACAGTATGGTACTGGCACAAAAGTAGACATGTAGACCAATGGAACAGAATAGAGAACCCAGAATTAAATCTTGGCATATATGATCAACTAATATTCAACAAGGGTGCCAAGAACAGCTAGTGGGGGTAGGATAGTCTCTTTAACAAATGGTGCTGGGAAAACTGGAGAAACATATGCAATGAAATTGGACTCCTATCTCACACCATTTACAAAAGTTAACTTGAAATGGATCAAAGACTTAAACATAAGGTTTGATACCATAAAACTCCTAGAAGAAAACTTAAGAAGAAGCTTATCGATATTGGTACTGGCAATGATCTTTTAAACATGATGCCAAAAGCACAAACAATAAAAGCAAAAATGAACAAGTAGAACTACATTACACTCAAAATTCGTGCACAACAAAAGAAACAATTAACCAAATGAAATGGCAGCCTACAGAATGGGAGAAAAATTGTGCAAATCATATATTGGATGAGGAGTTAATATCCAAAATATATAAAGAAGTAGCACAACTTAATAACATAAAAGCAATTTAGTTAAAAAATGAGAAGACCTAAATAGACATTTTTTTCAAAGAGGACATCAAAATGGCTGACGAACACATGAAACGATGCCCAACGTCACTAATCATCAGGGAGATGCAAATAAAAATCACAATGATATATCATCTCACACCTGTTAGAATGGCTATCATCAAGAAGATAAGAGAGAACAGGTGCTGGAGAGGATGTGGTGAAAATGGAAGCCTTGTGCACTGTGGACAGGAATGTGACTTAGTCCAACCACTATGGAAAACAATATGTAGTTTCCTCAAAAAATTAGAAATACAAGTACCATATGACCCGGCAATTCCACTGCTTGGTGTATACCCAAAGGAAATTAAAACAGGATTTTGACAAGATATATACACAGCCATGTTTATCACAGCATTATTCACAATAATCAAGATATGGAAACAACCCAAATGGCCATCAATGGATAAATGGATAAAAAAGAAGTGGTATATATCCATGATGGAATATTATTCAGCCATGAGAAAAGAGGAAATCCTGCCATTTGAAACCACATGGACGGACCTTGGGCACATTATACTATGCGAGATAAGTCTGACAGAGAAAGACAAGTACTATGTGATGTCACTTGCATATGTAATCTAAAAAAGTCAAACCTGTAAAAAAAAAAAAGAGTAAAATGGAGGTTACCAGGGGATGGAGGATGACAGCATAAAATTGATGGTGTTTAGGGTACAAACTTGTAATGAGTAATAAATAAGCCATAGATCTAACACACAGTATAACGAACATAGATGATAATATTGTGCTATAATGATGTAATGTGATAAAATATTTCTTCAATGGCAATCATTTTACAGTATATAAATATATCAAAGTAACACAACTTTACAAAATGTAACATATCAAATTTATCAAATAAGAAAAAAAATAAAAGGAGTTTGGTTTAAAAGAAAGAAGTCTATAATTTCCATTGGTGATGAAGTACAGCTGGTGCTAATACTGTGGCTGTTTATTGCCATCATTCATAATTGAAAGAAGTGTTGAATTTCGGTTAGTCATTAGTGACTGTCTAAACTGATGGATAGACCTCAGGTAAGAACCTGGCAAGGAGATGCACATGTGCCAAACTCGGTGCTGGAAGGTTTACCAAGACCTCCCGTAATTATCTCCTGTGACTCTTCAAGAACTCTTTGTAAACTGTAAACCTAAAATTCAGGGGTTGTTATGGTCCTTTACTGCCTTGCGCTCACTGTTGAAGACTCTATTGTATAACGTCATGGTGTATTTTCACGACCCTCTCCGAAAATCATGAGTGGGGCTGTATAATTATTCATCTTTGGATCAGCTACCATCTGGCCCTTAATATATCATTTGTAAGTTTTTGAAAATGAATGCTATATTTTTCAGATCTTGTCCAAATTACGACCCCAGTTATTGCCTGGTCTTTAAAATCCAGTCTCAATTAAACTAACTAAAAAAAATCAGTTTTAACTTAGAATTCATTTTGATGTTTTTTTCAAAATATTATAAAGAGTAATTTTTAAAAGGCTTTTTACTAAGACTTGTCACTTATGAAGAGAATAGGTGAAATACAGAACATCCAGGTGTCCTATTTAATGGACAGAGAGAAGTTTCAGAATTCAGTTCTACCATGTGTTGACCATGTTAAGCCTTGAGATTGAAGGCTACCCAACCTCTGCCCTCTTTATTTATATCCCACCACATTTAAGTGGCTTCCAGTAAGAACATATGTCATGACATAGGTATAAAACATAAATAAAAATAAAACATTTGTAAGAAAAAATAGTCCAGGTCAGGAAGCAAATATGAAATAGAAATTATAAGAGGTAGTTATTACAGGTAAGCTTCCAGGAGGTTAAGGGGAAAAGGATTGATGGTCATTAATTTTAGAAGAAAAATTAAAACTTCCAGTTCACAGGGGAAGTCGAGTTTTTCCTAGAAGAAAACTTTAAAATGGTCGCTCCATGGAACCTTATATAGGAGCACTGAATGGTGACAAAAGCAACATTTTCAGCGACATTCTCACAGCAGAAAATGGTAGTGGATTACATATAGCTGATCTGGCATATCCCTATGACTCGGCTGTGATCACAGCATAAATTATTATGCACTGTTTTTGCTCCTACGTGAATTTAAAGTCAATTCCTTTGGTCCACTGTGGCTGGTAGTCTCTTAGACAGCCCCCAGTGATCCCACCTCCTGGCATCCATGCCCTTGTATGATTCCTGTCCCTTGAGTGTGCACAGGACTTGTGACTTGTGTCTAACCAATAGAATACAGTCCTAGTGAAGAGATTTCAATACTCTTATAATGCTACATAAGACTGTAATTTCTGTCTTGCTAGCAGACTGTATTGTCTCTCTCTCTCTTGCTGGCTTTGATGGAGGAAGTCTTATTATGGAGATGCCCATGTGGCAAGGAACTGAGGATGGTGTCCAGCCAATAGCCCTCAGCAAGGAACTAAATCCTTCTCAAAGCCATGGAACTTGGAGGTAGATCCTTTCATAGTCAAATCTCCAAAGGTAGCCAAACCCAGGCCAACACCTTCACTGTAGCCCTGTGAGACCTTGAGCCAGAGGACCTAGCCAGGTCATCCCCAGATTCCTGACCCACAGAAACTGTGAGATAATAGATGTGCTTTGTCTTAACCCGTTAAGGTTGTGGTAATTTGTTATGTAGCCATAGATAAGTAATAGACAGCAGACAAATCATATTTTCAAAAATATTTTTTTAAAGAAATATACATACATATTCAGAGGCCAATAGGGGCTCTAGGTGAGGATGCCTGGTACAGAGAAGGATCTAATTTTTTCAATAACAGATCTAGAGTTTACGAGGTGGATTAAATGAATTCTTCATTTTCTGTTTCATTCAAAAAATAACTTTGATTATCATCCATGAGCCGGGCCTTTCTTAGATGGTGGTATCCCAATTTAATCGATCAGCAAGGTGAGGTTTAGAAATCACAGAGCAAGGAAATAGCAAAGCTGGAATTTGGTCCTGAGCCTTCTGACTCTAGAAATGCTTTTGACCTTCTTACTGTCTTCTGGTTTAACGAGAGTCTCTCACATTACAAAAGTAGCATGTGTTTATTATAAAACACTTAGAAGATATAAGCAAATAAATGGACAAAAAATGCACTTGATCTCACTACCATTTTTGTATAGTTATAGTTCTGGCAAGTTATACATGTATTAGTGGACAGATGTATAGACAATTATCTATATGAGCATAGTTTATTAATGAATTTGTGTTTGAACTCTCAGGCCCTTTGAGGTTTCTTGCTACAAGGATTTTTCCAGGGAGCTAATTAAAATCAATAGCTCTTCTAACTTTTGTAAAAGCCCAAACTTGTAGAAAAGAAGATGCTTCATTGTCCCAAAGAAAGGAAGAGAGATATTAGCTTATCTGGTCAAAAGGAGAAAGAAGCTCTGCCTAGACAGTTAAGAGATAAATGACAGTGGATCCTATTCAAGAGTGGAACCTGCTTGGGGGAGGTGAGTAGTCCCCAGAGAGGGAAAGCCGTGGGGTTCACCAGTGAGGCTGGACCCCAGGCACAGAGTCAGCCCCAAGCATGGCACAAAAATAGCAGCATCTCGGCATCAAAGGGACAATGAGACCCTGTGTGTTGGGATATGGGCATTGGACAAGCAACACTAGTCTAAGGTAATGACCTGTGACAAATGACCTGAGGGGTCCTCCCAATAATTTGGGGCTCCTTGAGACCCAGTGATTCTTGCACAACTCTGAGAAGGAGAAAACTCCGGTTATAAATGAAAGAAAATATTCTACAAAATATTCTGTCATTCTAGCAGTAGAGGGGCTGAGAAGACAGAAAGAAGATAATGTGATGCTTCTGGTAGCTCTAACATGGACTAATATTCAGAAAGTCCATGCTTGCTCTGGCATCTCTGCAAATATTAATTTAGATAGTAAGGTATAGCAGACACTTTTACAGGATGCTAAGACAGATAAGGCAGGATCTCTTCACTTACAATCTATTGTCAAAAAATTAAAAATAAATGAAATAAGTGTTTCAATAATTATATATATAAACTTCTCAGTGACTCTAGATGATGCCTTTCTCAATTTTTCATGCCTCAGTCTATCAGTCAGTGTTCTCCAGAGGAATAGAACAAGTAAGATAGATGATAGGTAGATACATACATAAATAGAAAGATAGAGATTTATTTCAGGGAATTAGCTTACACGATTGTGAGGGCTGGCTGGGCAAATTCTAATTTTATAAGGCAGGTCAGAAGGCTGGAAACTCTTGGGCAGGAGTCCATGATACAGACTTGAGGCAGAACTTCTTCTTCCTCTAGAAGAGCTCAATTTTACTCTTAATGCCATTCAACTGATTGGAAAAGTCAACTGATTGTAGCTCTTAACCACATCTCCAAAATACCCACACAGAAACAGCTAGTGTTTAGTTGAATAATTGGGTACTATAGCCTGGCCAAGATGGCATAGAAAACTAATCACTACACACAGGAACCGGGAGACTTGAAGTAGACCTTGAATGTGACTAGGAGCTTACCAGGTGGAAGAAGAGAAGGGCATGATGCACACGCAGTCAGGAGAGGACAAGGTATGCTTTGGGGAATGCTGAGTGGTCCTATGTGTCTGGAACCAAGGAGGAGGGGAGGAGAGATGAGCTGACACCAAATTGGGACTGGCAGGTCAATGAGCTGGGGCATTGGGAAGTCCCATGGGGCTTTCAGCTCATGAGTAACTTGATCACATTCAAGTTCTAGAAAGACCAGTCTGGGGACAGGGTGGAGAATGGTTATAGGGAAGTGGGTTTGGAAGGTTAGAGAAGAGCTGATGGTCCAAACTGCAGCACTGGCAGTGAGGATAGAGAAGAGGCATAAGATTGGGAAGATATGGGGGAGGCTGACTCCACAGGCCTCATGTCTCTCTCTGTCGGTCACTGCTCATCCATCACTGTGCTCTTTCCCTTTCTACTTAGACTTGCTGTTAATACCTTTGTCAACACTTTATGTTGTTTAGCTGTGAACAATACAGGAAATTCCTGGGCAATCTCTATTAGTGGAGACAATAGATGTAATAGTGTTGTGACTATAGCTGTGTAGAGAGAATTGAACCCAACACACTGACACATTCCAACAAAAACCATACACATGCATGCACACACACAATCATGCGCTGCAGAAGCTGTTTCTCAACCGTTTTAATCTCATCCAGAAATTTGTGTAATTGGAGGCCCAGGAACAATTTAAGAGTCTAGCTTTTGAAGCCATAACTAGAAACCCAGCCTGGATATATCTCTTCACAAAATGAAATAGTACAGCATGAGGGTGCATAGAGAAAAGGAGTTGATAAATATTTTAAATCCCACTTCCATTTCCACAGCAATTGCTTGAGCCTTGCCTAGGCAGAGAAAGAAATTCCTTTTTGATCAGAGTCTCATGAGATTTATCTTTTTCCAGTGTTTTAGCAACAGCTACTACTCATAGTAGGTTGCTTCAGGATCTATATAGTCCCCGAATCTGAAATTCATGAAGTGTCAGCCTTGTGTGTCCTGAGTCTCAACCACTCTACCCCAGCAGGCAGACTTGGTCCCAGAGTCCCAACCTAAACACACACAGGCTTATCCCTCTGTCTCCTGAACCCCCTCATCTTTCTTCCTGAGTACATCACGATTGTCCCAAACTTTCCTCCATTTCCTTTATCTCTAATTTCAGAAAAGAAATGTAACGCTTGTATATGTCATTTTGAAATCATTTTATTTAAAAAAGCATGTGCTGAGTGTGCATGCCACCTTCTGAGCTAAGCACCAGGAATCCAGAAATGCATGAGAAACAGTGTTTCGCCTCCAGGAGCACAAGAGAAAGAGGTCTTGAAACAATGAAGAGAGTGTAGCCTTAGCCTGGGATTGAGAAGCAAGTAAATATGGGGTGGCGGGGGGGTTGGCCCTGAGCACACATTCTGGGTAAAGCATTCCAGGACTAGCAGTACCCACCAAGAGGCTGGTGAGGAGGAGTCTTTCTTGGGACTAGCTCAAAAGTGGGGGAAGAGGCTGTGGCATTGGCAGAACTGAAACCTCCTCTGGGGGACTAGGTGGGGTTGTCCTATGTGGAGCCTTCTTGGCATTTCCAGTTGAGGGCCAGGTGATACGGGGAAAAGGATAAGGGACTGGCACCCTGCACTATTCACTCCTTTCATGAGGGCCAGTGGAGAAATTTTGGGTTGGGGGCACTATCAGGACCAAGATTCCTGACACTCAGGGACAGTAGTATGGGTGAAGCAAGGGGTTTCTCTTTGTTATCACCTGAGTTGGTGGGCTAGGCACCTGTGTGGAGTCAGATGGTGCCCTCCCTTCTGACTCTTTTGGCTCCTTCCTTAACTTGGGGGGGGGGTCCAATCTTCTCTGTGAACAAAAGAAAAAGAGGATGATAAGAGGGGGAAAGGCACAGAAAGACATCCAGATATAGGAGGGGGGAAAAAAAAGAGAGTGAACAGTAGAGCAATGTTCCTAAACTTTCTCACACCATGGTACACGTGGAAAAGATCATGTGAAGAGCTCACTTGGGTAAAAGGGCACTTGGCCTTGGGACAGCATGCACCATTATCTTCACACATCTGTACCCCATACTGATTGGGAAGCTGTGGAGAAATGGTTTCCATTGAAAGAGACAAGGGAATAGGTGAAGTTGTGTTCAGAGGCAGAACTAAAAGCAGAAGGCTGGGAGACTACCTGGGACAAGGAGGGCCGGGACGAGCTTCCGGAAGGCAGAGGCTGGAGAGAGAGAGACGATCCAGCAGTGAGCAGCTGACCATACCTTGTGGTCTCACCCAAAGTCTCCTCTAATTTACAGTTCCTAAGAGGAGCACACGGACCATCTCAGGAAAAGGCAGGAGCAGCACTTGAGAGTGAGCGGGGGGAAACACCTAAGGCAGGGGAGAGGCCCCACTCTGGACTTCCTAACAAGTGATGTCCCCTGTCCCTCCTGCCGCCCCAGGCAGCAGCCACCCAGATCCAGAAAATGGAGAGGGGAGGAAGAAAAGACACTCAAGTGTTGGCTTTTGGGACACTGACTGAGCACTGCCACCTACCTTCCTTCCTCCCCCGGCAACATTGGGCCCACAAGGCCTCTAGGGTGGCGCCTGGAAGGCCTCCAGCTGCAAGGACATGTCATGGCTTCTGGGAACTGTTGCTGGGGTGGTCTACAGGGGAGAAAACAGGGGCATCAGGATGTCCCCTCAGTATCGAGCCCATCTGGACCAAGAGCCCTGTGGCCCAGCCTCACGATCCGGGACTCCTAACATTAAGAAAGGCTCTTCACCAGCCTGGGGAGGCAATGCCTCAGGTCTGGGATCCCCCTCAAGCCCCTTTGGGAAACTGGGGTGTGTCTTCAGATGCTTTCTCTAGCCCTTCCTGCCTGCTCGGGTGCACTGGGCATGACAACTGGGGCCTGACAACTCACATTAAAGGACAAAATAATGCTGGCAGCTTGAATCGTATCTTTCCCACAGAGAAATGGTAGCTTAACAGGAGACAGTCCTTCTTCTGGGACGGAATCTTTAATGATAGGATATCAGACATCTGGGACAGGGCAGCATTTGGAAGGAGGGGAGAGTTTCTTGGCTAAGGCAGGAGCTTTCCCAGGCTCCTGAAATTCCAGCCAAGACAGGTCTGTGATGCCCAGGTAGCTGAAAGGAGCCAGCATCTTAGGAAGGCACAAAAGTGGTTCCCTGGCCTCAGTAGGGGCAAAAAGGTCCAGTCCGAATAGGAGGCCAGGGCTGGGCCATTCAGAAGCCCCTGCTTCCAGAGCGTTCTGCCCCCAGGAACTACATGGGAGAAGTGGATGTTCTACAGGCCAACTGCCAAAGCCCATTTGAAGCCCTGCTGGGCTGCCCGGGAAACCCCACCAAAAGCAACTGCCACTGAGTGGGGTGGAGGAGGGGCTTGCAGCCTGAGAGGCCACTGGTTTCCTCCACTGTCCCACTCACTGTCCTGCTCTCCTGGGAAAGGCAGCGGCTCTGGGACCTGAAGGGAGGAACCTCATGGTTCCTGGCCCTCCAAGGGGGAGACAAGAGCTCAGAGAGACCACTGGAGAGCTTAGGGGCCTGCACAGGCACGCCTCTTCAATTAAAAGGTCCTCAAAAAGAAATTGTATATGTATGCAAGTATATACAATTATATAGAGAGAATACAGAAGGTGGCTTCAGTTTACCAGAAGCAAGTTTGCTAGCAAGGAGATGGGTGAGGATGATAGCGGCACAGTGGTGGACCCCTGGCCCACTGAGGAGCCCTACCGCTGGACACTGAGCTTGGCCTTAGGCATAGATGAGGCCAAAGGAAGCAGGATGGGTGGAGGAGATACAGAAAGCTACAAAGAAAAGGTAGAAAGACAGCAGAGAACCCTTGGCAAGCTGGGACAGTGATGCTAATAGGGAGGGGAAATGATGTGAAGAAAAAAACAATGAGGGGTGGGCAAGGGAGGAAAAGGGAAGGCAGAAAAGTGGAGACCTGGGAGAGGCCAAGTCAGGGGCAACAGCGAGGGCTGTCCTTGCTAAGGCTGGCAGGGAATTCCTGGGAACCGCGAGGTGTCCTCTTGTTCCAGGTCACCACTGAGAGGGAGGTAGGCAGAGGGAGGAAGAAAAGGGAGCTGGCTGGGGCAGGACAGAGGAGGACAGAAAGCCCAAATGTGCCCTTCTCTCTTTCTCGTACCCTGGTCCCGTCTTCCCAACCCTCCCGGAAGCCTAGTCCCTTAAACAAGGGAAGAGAAGAGAACTAGTTAAGGAGGGGTGGATGGATGGGAACTCGGCACCCTTTCCAGAAGAAATTATAGCTTAACAGTAATCAGCTCAGTCATCAAGAAAAGCCCCTCTAATGGTGGAGAGTTAAGCATCCAGTATGGAGCCCTGGGGAGGGGAGCGGGCTTGGGGGCCCTACTGAACCCATTAAACCCCAGCCTGGATCACCCCTCCAGGGAGCCCAAGGAGAAGCCAAGTCTGAGAGAGGCCCAGAAGTGGCTCCCAGGCTGAGAAGGAGGTTGAGCTGCCTCCTCCAGGAAGGCTGTCTGAAGAATTGTGGGTCCAGACATAGCAGCGAATAGTCAGGAGAGGGGTGCCAAGGCTTGCCCTCTCCCCTGAGAGGACCTACCAGGCTGCTTGCGAAACGCCTACACGAACAATTGTCACTTTTTCTTCCCTCCACCTCAGCAGTCGGGGAACTACATCTGGGCCCCTCAAACGGTGCTCCTGCCCACCGGTTCTGCTGCCTCAAGGGCCCAGTGCTCTGGGTGGAGACAGGCCACTAACAGGAATGGAAACTGGAATCAGGCCCCGGGGGAAAGGATGTGGACTCAAGGAAGATATTGAATGGCTCTCAACATTGCTCAGTGGGCAGGAAGAGTTAGATTCAGGCAGGGGTTCTTCAGGAGCATCTGGTTCCAGTGTTGCAGATGGAGCACGCCACATGCGTGTAGAGACCCAGCAGACGTGGGAGAAAGGACTTTGTGGGAAGGTCCCTTCAGAAGACTGTCCCGGCAAACCAGCTCCCAGTGGCCTAACTGCCAGGCATCTTGGCAGCGGTGGAGTCGAGGCCAGGGTGTCTCTCATGTCTCTTTTCATTTCCTTGTTGTCACTACCCTCTGGTATTTGCTCCGGCATTCACCCATCCGTAAACTCATTGCTTTATCAAATATTTGCTGAGCTTTGCTGGGCAGTGGGGATACAAAGATGAATGAGACAAAGTTCCTGCATTCGAGTACCTTCCTCCATAGTGAGAAGGGGCAGACTGACATGCTGAGAATGAAAAGAGAAATACAGGCCTGGGCTGATGGCTCAGATACACATACCCCTAGTCCCGGCCCACACAGATAAATAATTCTACTCAGAGAAAATTAACACTCAAAAAACACTCTAGGGGAATCATATCAATCAGGAAATACTGAGTGTTCCCCGTGACCAGGCAGGAAGTCGGCAACTAAAATGTTCTTTGCCCACTCAGGAGTTGAGTCTAAAAATCACTCCTTCATATTTTCAGGGTCCTGATCCTGAGTAGCACTGATGTTTTGGAAAGGAAGTTACTTGGGGCCTTTATAGTCTAGTGGGAGTGGCCTCCAAGGAAGGTATTAAACTTACCCCAAAATGCTAGAGACTCAAAGTTTGTAAGGGGTTCAGAGGGTGCCATATGGGCTTATCGGGTCAAGGGCCAGTTGCTTCCTGAGACCTGCCCAGGAGTGGGGACGTGGGGACAGGGAAGCTCCAAAGCTCCAGGCTTTGGAGATGTGGGTGCTCACAGGGGCTGGGATTGTGTCTGGAAGCTGCCTCCTTGGTATCCCCAGTTAAAGGGCAGAGGCTAGGGACTGGTCCCAAGAAGATGGTGACAGCCCAGATCACGCTCACCGAGGAGTCGTGAAGACTCACGGAGGGGACCCAGAAGAGGTGGGGTGAAGTTGGAGTGTCACAAGGATGGTGCTTCCTCACAACTGGAAACAGGACCTGGTGAGGAAGAAAGTTGTCCCTCCTTCAGCTGGGAGGTTGGGAGGATGGACTGGAGCAAGGTGGGGTCCACTCCCTCCCTGTTGCTCCTGCCTTCCTCCATCATTTCTCAGGAAGGGGTCGGAACAGAGGGCTATTTGATCAATCTCAAAGACCCAGAGAACTTGGGACTCAGGACAGACAGAGATAGGCAGGAAAAAGGAGCTAGAAATGCTGAGGCTCCATCTGTAGAAAGAAACAGAAGGAAAGCACAGCCAGGAGAGAGATGAAAGAGAAAATAATCTTGATGAGAAATATCATCATATACAAAAGAGGGGACAGGAGAGGAGAGGGAGAAGAGAGTATCCCCCTGGGGGACCAGAGTCATCCTGGCCAGACCTTGCTCAGAGAATGGGGTCACAGGGAGCAGAGCCTTTGGGGATAAAGCAGTGGCTGGGAGGAGGCTGGAGTGTCTGAGTGGACCAGATGTGAGTTTGGCATGAGAAGCTTTCTGACTCGGAGCAAGAACACAGGGTGTTCCACACCGAGTGTGCACATGTGTGGTCTGCCCATGGCCCCTCTGCTCCTAACTCAAGAGCAGCCTCTCTTGGAGTACAAAACAGATAAAGGGACAAAGAAAAGGCCAAAGCAAGTGGTCGTGAGCCAACAGTGGCACTGTGCAGGCCTCCCTTGAGGAAAAGCTCGTCTCTGGCCTGAACTTAAGTAGCACCTCTAAGACCTGTTGGGACCCCTGTTCTGGGCCAGTCCCTGGCCCTGTGGAGAAAGCAGGGAATGTCTTTCCAGAGCCTCCTTCCCTCTCTCCCAGTCATGTCCAGGCTCTCTTAGAGGGCATGTTTTTGCTTCCCACCCCACAGTCAAAGGAGGCCTCCAGCCTCCCAGCCTGAGGGGAGCGCCACCAACTCTGAGGAGAAGAGTACTGGCAATCCAATGTCTCTTTTCAACCCAGAAAGATGTCAACTGAGCAATAGCCTGTTTCCCGCTGAAAGGAATGTAACTGGATAGTCCAAGGAGAGAGGCCTATTTGGGGCTGGGGGGAAAGGGAGGACAAAGTAGCTTCCACAGGAGCAGAGTCCTGGATCCCCCCCTACAATGAAATTTTCCCACTCTTCTCCCCTTAAGGTCAGGCAGCCCTGAGAATCCAAGGCCTGATGAGGCTCAAATGGATGCTGGCACAGCCAGGGCAAAGCAGTCCGGGAGTGGACCAGCCCTTCCTCGGGGGAGGCACTTGGTGGTCATGTGCCCGGGAGCTACATGGAATAAGCGGTTACATGTATGTGCCTGAGGCCCATCCCCAGGAGCCAATGCCAGGCTGCTCTGGAGCTCCTGCCTAGAGTCACTGCCACTGCATGGCCCTGTCTGCATTCCAGCTCACTTCCCAGACCTCCCCATCCTGGGAGGAGGGTCGTTCCTGGGCCAGGGGACCCCTCAAGTGTAATGAGGCTCCCCAGATCCTCCTGCTACAGAGTTCTGCTGACTACAGGCCTCTAAATAGAGACCAGAGGTGGGAGAATCTCTAAGCTTCCCAGTGGCAGTGAGGCTGGATGAAAAGCGTCCCAGGATGAGATTTGGGCGCTTGGAACATTGTCAAAATGATTCAACTCAAGAAGTGAGCAGCAACCTGGATCAGGGGTGAGGTTCAGCATTTCTCTTTAGCCAGGTTGCCGAGGTGCTTTTCTCTGGATCAGCTGCTTTGACTATTAGAGGAGTAGGAGCCATGCCACTTGGGGTCTCCACAATTTCTATTTCCTTGGCTTAGAAGCCATATACTCCCCTTGGCTGGACTCCAAGAGAGGGTCCCCCAAAACTTGCCCCATGTGACCCAATTAAGTACATGGCACCAAAAGAAGCCCTTCTCACCTGCTATCTTTTCTTTCCTCATTCTGCCATGCTCCACAGTTGTTTCTTCATTCACTCGTATTTTCCATCAAACTGCTATCAACTCAGTGCCAGGAATACAACAATGAGTGGGATAAAGTCCCTGGTCTCAAGTTGCTCACTGCATCCCAGGGGAAGGCAGAGTCCTGAATGTCATGGGGAGATGTTGCTGGTCAAAAATATTCACCATGGCCTTGGTTAGAACTCAGATATCGATATTCCATAGTCTTTCTCCTATATCACACGTCATAGAGAATGAAAACAACTTTAGATGGTAAAGATAGCTAAAATGTCACTAGAAAACTGCTTCATTTACAAAATATTTGGGGGGTGGCAAGCAGTGAGCTAAGCCTCTGCTTATCAAGATCTCAGGCTTAAAGGAGATGCTCTTTGGGTGTCCAAATTCCCATCGTCTCCCTTTGTTCTCTACAGATATTTCAGGGTGCAGGGAAATTCTTTGGGGCTACGTGTTCAATGTGGAGAGTGCCCCTGAAATGCTAGAGACTCCAAGTTTGTAAGGG